CTTTCATCCCATGGTGTGTGTTAGTCAGGGCTTAATTATCAATGTCCAGTTACACACATTAAATACAAAAAACTCCCTACATCAGCATGTTTATATACACCTGCTCCAAAATGTAATTGATTCGTCTGTGGTTCTTCCCCCACCCCTCTACTAAAATTTCATGGAAATCAGTTGAGTAGTTTTAGAATAATCCTTCAAAGTAACAAACAGACAAACAAATTCAGATGAAAACATAACTCCCTTGGTGGAGGTAACAAGAATATTACTCACTAACCTCTTCTAGCTAGACAATTCATTTACAAGAGATCGCTCATGAGGTGCTTGTGTGCTGTGGCATCCAAATGAGTTATCATTGTGTTTTTTCAGTTTTCAGTTTATAGTTCCTAAGAGATGGCAGAAGAACAGACCAGTATGTATCCAGTTGGCTGGGACTGGAGATCATGTAAGGCTCTTAACCTTTTAACCTCAACATAACTTGAACATCAAAGGCCCTGTTTCAAACCTAGTATGTGATGAAATATGATATGCTATGTCTTATTTGAAATATTAAAAAAACAAGATAAGGGTTAGGGTTATGTTAATACTATGTATATGAGTGTTCACAGGCAGCCCCCACAAAGGATAAAATACTCATGATCTGCACAGGGCTGTCACTTTTATTAGAAATTGAAATATATTCTAACAAATTCATGTAAAATTTGTTCAACCTTGATTTTTGGAAAAAGTAACAAGAAGTCATTTCATATGTATTGTATTGTGTGTGTGGGTTTGTAGTTTTTCTGGCGTCGGCGGACCCTGATGGCGAGGCCCATGATCAAAGAGGCAGGAATGGCTTCATTGCTTCTGGAGAACCCATATTATATCCTTCTATTGTCTTCTCACATCTGCCCCCTTCTTTTTAGTTTTCCTTTTTTAATTTCCTTTGAAAATTATTTTTCATCAAATGCATGCTGAGGTTTCCTTGGGCAAGATGCTGCCCAAAGATACTTAACCATTTACCATTTGTATAGCCCATATTCACAAATCACAATTAGTCTCATAGGAGTTAAAAAGCTGCAACATTCGCTGTCTTTAAACCTCAACCAGAGTAGGGAAATCTATCACCCAAAAAAAACCTTTTAATAGGATGGATAAGACCCAGGATGGACAGGAGTGCAATAGATGCAGCGTCTAATTGAATGCATCAACAAAATAGTAGTAATTACAACAGTGATGAGAAGAAAACGTTTGTCACATAATGGAGAAGTGTGTCAATGTTTCAAGTATTTATACATAAAAAAATGTCTGGTAGAGATGAAGGGAGCAGTGATGACAAATGAATTGAGGCGTAGTACTCATAGAGTATTGAGTAGGCATATTCAGCTCTATTTATATCGCACTTTAAACACAATATTGTTGATCCAAAGTGCTTTACAGAAAATAAGTGATAACAGATAAGTAGTGATAACAATAAAATCTACAACAACAACAACCATAATACAACAGAAAAATTTAGGCACATTGAAAGGCTAGAATAAAAGTGTGTTTTCAAATGACTTTTGAAAATTCATATTGAGGTGATGAATCCGTCCCCCAAAACACTTAGACCTCGATCTGTGGACAGACAGAAGTCACTTCTCAGATTATCTCAATGCCCTGACTGTGTGGTATTGACAGGAGCTCTGCAATGTTGGATGGGGCTACATGGACGGCTTTGGCTGTGGGGCAGAGCCGTCGTCCACCAACTAAAAGTTCGACAGTTCCATCCCAGTCTTCCCCATCTGCATGCCGAAGTTTTCTTGGGCAAGATGCTGAACCCCAAATTGCCCCTCATAGGAAAAAAAAGGTCCTGCTAATAGATACACTGTATGAATGTGTGTGTGAATGGGTGTATGGCAAACTCTACTGTAAAGTACTTTGAGTGGTCATCAAGACTAGAAAATTGCTATATAAATACAACCATTTAAACCATTATATCAGTTAGTACCTTGTACATAAACATGATAATTTTAAAATTAATCCTGTAGCTGACAGGCAACAAAGGCGAGAATTGGTGTAATGTGTTCCCTCTTTTTTGACCTTGTTAAAGCTCTTGCTGCTGCATTTTTAACCAGTTGGAGATGGGATAATAAAGACTTAGTGATGCCAAAATGTAACTGTTATGGAGGTTGTCTGGAAGCTTGTGAAAGGAGAACTCAGGCAGCACCTGATGTCTTATGCAGAAGATTTTAACTTAGGCTTAATGCATCAAGGAGACCAGAAGGTGGAACAATATACAAACACTAACAGAGTAATATGAGCAATTGTCCCCCCCAGGTCTGAAGATGTTTCTCACAGCACCCCCTTATATGTTCCTCTACTTGTGTCACCCATTCATCTATGAAAGGCTAGAATTGCTGTCACACAGGTTTTTGCATCCGATTTAATAGTTAAGTCTAAACTAGACAAGCACTATTCCCTTAATGGTGTACAGATATAATGTAATATATATTATATACATAATATATTGTGGCATATACAGTAATGTGTGAGGATGATTAACAATTCCTCAACACAGTTTTATGTGAGGTCAAGTCCAAAATGGTCTTTAGTGTTCTTCTCCCTCACTGGCTCTTCCACCCCCCCTATTTGCTGGATGAACTGGACAAAGCAATCAGATCTCAATATGAACACTTCAATGAATACCAGCTGTAATTATAGTCAGCTTAAAATAATTTCTAGATACAATCCTGATATGAAACACATTTAATGCCAAGTGTAAATGCAATCTTCTTAGTAAATCTGACGCTTCATGTTTTTGTCTTAAAGCTGTATGTTTGAGACACTATTGTATCACATTTAGTCATATGATGTGATAATCTTCGACCTGAGTTACAATAAAATATAACATTACATAGCATCAAATTGAGGTGATCTGCTATTTAAATACATGCAGGCTTTACAACAAGGCTTTTGTAAAGGTAAAACTGGCCATTCAGATTATGCAGGGATTTGGTCCCGGGGTTGTGATTGGAAACAGTGGCGGTTGCAGAGCCTTTTTAAAAAATCAATAAAACTTTACCATCCAAATTTTACAAAACAAGACCGGAAGCAAGCAAATAATGAAAATTTGTTCTATAATGGTGGAGATAACAGTTTCAATTTCAATTAAACATGTAAAAGAGGTACAATTAAACCATAGCATATCAAAATGAATTAAAAATGTGATGAAAGGTCACAGTTATATCAGCGATTAACCAAAGAAATAAAGGTAACCGAGTCTCTGTGTCCATGAAAATAGAGGTACCGTACAGTATGTTAGCAACTGTTAAGCAGATATACTGGTAACAAACTATGAACTATTTTCGCCTCACTCTTAAAATCTTAAAGTGTTGTTTTAAACACAATATATCAGGAATGCTCAAAGGAAATATCATGTGGCACAAACAATCACTTAGACTTAGGAATCAGGATGACCTGAATTGAATTTGTTTGTCAAAGGTAAACGTCACTGTGACTTCACAAAGCATATATTTGTCTCGTGATGGTAATATCTCTCGAACATCTTCAGGACATTCTTTCAGATTTGGCACAAACATTCACTTGAACTTGGATTTCAGTTTGGTTGCCAAAGGTCAATGTACCGGTGGCGTCATGAAATATGTTTTTCTTGAACAAGATATCTTAAAATCAGCCGAAGGGATTGCCTTCAAATTCTGTACAAATGTTGTTTCTTTTAAATGCAACACATTCAATTTATACTACCTTCTATTATAAATGTGTTGTCTCTTCATGACATCACAATGACATAATCTGTCTTTTCCTTCATCTGACCAAGCTTCTACAGAGAAAGAGATTATTATACTGCTGTTTACAAAGGCTGTGTAGTACATTTCAGTACTTCAGCTGACCATGTATAAAATCAGTCAAATTGTGTTTGTTTTGGAAAAAATACTGAATGTGTCTTGATGAAACAAGGGTATGAATCAAATATAAATTAGAATATGATCTTGCCAGCATCAGGCTCTCTTGGGACTGAATTCCGTTCTGTGTTGACTGTCTTCATATAATGAATGCTATCTGCAAACAATATTTTATTCCTTGACTATCCTTTTACATGGCTCTCGTAAACCTAAGGACCAACTGTAAGTTAACTCCCTTTCACATGCTTGTGACTTGTTCAATTACCCTTTTGAATATTTTCTTGTTTTTTTATATCCCTGACAAATCAATCTCTATAGGCCAGAGGGCTTTATAGTCACAGCCCAAAAATGAACAAATTACCTTGGCACAATGGTGTACTCTCATTTTAGAAACTGTAGACATCAGTCTTTAATCTCCATTCAAATTTCAAAACACCCATTTAGTTTGTATTTCTTGTATTTCTATGTAATTCTTCTTAGTGATGTGTATAGCAGCATTGAAGGCAGGGAATTCACAAAAATACAAAAGATCAATTATGCACATCATGATTATGCTCAGAGTCTTATGCCAAAGCTGAAGCCATCTTGATCGACCTGTAGTGGCTGACTGTAGTAAAGGTTATAAACTCTGCCTCCTCCATGTTAGCAGATGGGACATGGGGCAAAATAAAAAGTCAAAGTAGTCAAAGTCATTTTGGTAATTGCTATTGCAATAGTGTATGTGCAAGTGCTCATTTTTAAAATATGTTTGGATTTCATTGGTTATTTGATGCTGTAAAATATCATGACTGACAGCTGAGACTTGCTCATGACTGGTTCCGCATGTGCATTGGTAACTTGTTAATAAAAAGCGCAAGATATCCACGATATTGGGACTTCATCTTTGTAAAGTGAAAGGAAATGGAGACAAATCTCCCATCTTTATTTAGAGTCTATGGTCTGGGCGGGCAGCTGATCAGCAACTGATCAGCTGAGCAACATTGTTATACCTATAGTCATGCACCTATAGCATAACCATATAGATACAATTTTGAATAGGATGGTTTTGTTTTCCCACATTCTTATCCTGATAATTTTCTTGTAACCTCTCATTTCCGTCCATCAATCCATTAAGGGAGATGATTAATAAAGGGTCTAATCNTGGAAAATATGGACTAAAATCTGAAAGAGTCAGTTTATAAGGTTGTTGAGGAACCTGCTTTATGGAGACAAATTAAATTTTTTGGTGAATGTGTTCTACTTGAGGGGTAACCAGCTGATCTGTATATTTAGCAAAATATCTCTTTCACTTTGAAATTACCAAGGTTTTAAGATAGGAGATGATGGAAACACTACTGCTTTTGTCCACAGAGACACCAAAATCATTGAAAATAAAATGTTCCTTGTAGGAGCTTTAATTGGTTAGAAAATGTCCTCTGGTCTTCATTTAAGTCATAAGTACAGACAAACAAAATGTGCCTAAGCTACTAACAAACAATTATAATTTTTAATGTCACACCCATTCCCAGTGCAGGTGGAAAACTGACACTTAGAATTAATAGCTGGTTTAACCTTCATTACTAACAAAAACTTCAAGCGAGTGCTTCTGGTAGCTGGGTATCAGATGTACAGGATGTTCAGCAGGAATTTTTTACCATAAAAAAGCTAAAGTACTCAAATGTGACACATCTAAACCATAGATCTTATAAAAAGATGGAACCATAGGTAAATGAATGTCCTGAAAATACTACATGACAGTGACACATCTGTTTAGTTTCCACGATTCACAAACGTATCATATAACATGGTGTCATCGGCGCTGAATTTGCTCTCAGATGAGTTGAAGATCCTGACAAAGGATAATTGCGGAAACAACTAAACAAGGCAAGCTAACAAGCAGTTTGCAGCATAGAGCTATTGAGCTGGTGAGAAGCTATGGGTGGAAGGACAGCCCCATATAAGCATGCTTGCCTGCAACAGGGTGAGTGACAGATTTTCTCTTGAAAATGGCGCCATGCTAGGTGGCAGCCTGTTACCGCTCCGTTGTTTTTTCTTGACTTGTTTTTTTGTCACTTTGTTCTTTTATTTTTTTCTCAGTAATTGTCTGGGGACTTAGTTGCAATGGCTACGTGCTGTTTTAAAACTTTTTTCCTAGTTTTTCTGCTACTTTCCACACTCTTTGTGTGACGAGCCACACAGAGAAGAGTGAGAGCATTGTTTACTCACGCGACCAGCTGTCTGCGCTGAGTAAACCTGTGTTGCTGCCCGGCGAGAAAGGAGCTACAGAGGAGATGCCGGGGATGCACAGCTGGAGCTAAGCGCAGACTGGAGAGGAGGAAACATAAACCTTCAGTTCCTGCGGTCATCATGGGAAACGTGAGATCCTTGGGGAATAAGATGGACGAGTGCAGTGCGCTGATTAAGACCCTGAGGGAATACCGTTGAGTGCAGCTTGTTGTGTTTCACCGAGACATGGCTGCACTTGGAATTCCCAGACTACAGCGCGGAGTTACACGGCTTCACTACTGTTCGGGCGGACAGGGACGTTATTCAGAGCGGTAAAGAGAAGGGAGGAGGGATTGCACTGTATGTGAGTATGTGAGCTGATGCGACTGTAGCGAGTGACACCACCATAATCATGTCACACTGGACAAAACTTTACCTTCATTCTGCCAGTATGTTAACTGCCCCAGAAGAGACAGTAAAACACTGGACCTTCTGTATGCAAATGCTCTGGATGCATATAGTGCCACTGCCCTCCCCCCACTCGGCAGATCAGACCACAACCTGGTACTCCTGACACCGAAGTATGTCCCTCTTGTTCAGCGACAGCCTGCATTCACAAGGAATGTGAGGAGGTGGACTCAGGAGGCCACTTAGGCACTGCAGGACTGCTTCGAGTCTACTGACTGGGATGTGCTCTGTGAGCCAAATGGGGAGGACATCAAAAGCATGTCGGACTGCCTAATAGAATACATTAAATTCTGTGAACAAACCACCTTGCCAGCCCAGACTGTATGCTGCTTTCCGAATAACAAGCTCTGGATCCCCACTGAGCTGAAAGTTCTTCTCAACAAGAAGAAGACCGCCTTCAGGTCTGGGGACAGACAAGAACAGAAGGTCATACAACACGACCTGAGGGGAAAGCTGAGGGAGTGCAAAGACTCCTACAGGAGGAAGCTGGAGGTCAAACTCCAGAAGAACAATGTGAGGGATGTGTGGTCTGGAATGAGGGAAATAACTGGGTTCAAGGCGAAAAGCAGACAGCCAGGAGGCAGCCTGGAGAGGGTAAATGAACAAAATTTGTTCTTCAACAGGTTCAGTACACTGAAGATTATATGTATACTGAGATCTTTCAACTTGTGCAGCAAGATGTTGGAAATATTCTGTCAGTCTGTTGTAGCCAGTGTAGCTGTGGTCTGCTGGGGGATCGGAGCCGATGACACCAACAGACTGAACAAGCTGATTAAGAAGGCTGGCTCCGTCATTGGCTGCAAACCAGACACTTTGGAAACGGTGGTGGAGAGGAGGACGCTTAATAAGCTCTTATCCATCATGGACAATCAAGACCACCCTCTCCACCACCTGGTGGACAGACAGCGGAGCACTTTCTCCTACAGACTGATTCAGCTCCACTGCCGCAAGGAGAGATTCAGGAAGTCTTTCCTGCCCACAGCAATAAGAATGTACAATTTCCACCTCTGATAGTACTTAATAGTAATTACTGCCTCAATAACTGTCAGTTATTTATTTATTTTGCTCACATTATAGTCATACCCATTTTACCACATTTAGTTATATTTATATTTTGTCATGTCAAGTACTGCAATTTTGCACCTTGTCTTTTTGTGTCTTACTCTCTGTAAATGTTGACCTGGTGCTGTGACACAACAATTTCCCAACTGGGATCAATTAGGTTAATCTATCTATCTATCTAAAGCATAGAAAGGGAGCAAGAGATTGATTCCTTGTGTTCCATAAGTCCAGTTGAAAAAAGAATACCTCATTAGATTATACCAAGGGAGATAAAGCTGATGATATTTTAAGCACACTTTGCATACAACATAAAACACAGGATGCCAAGAGAAACAGCTGAATTTTTCATTTCAGTTGTTTAAAAAGTAGCAGAACATGGTCAATATGGCATACTGCAGGAAGAAATTATATGAGACAGGTTGGTGATAGGCATAAGATGTCATGGCCTGACAGAGAGCCTGCAGATGAACAGTGAACTTCCACTGGCAAAAGCAATTCACAAAATCAGACAACGTAAAGTAGTCCAGAAACTTATACAGACCAAATAGACATAGTGGATATGGTGAAATAAAAGGAAAAAGAGGTTTCACCAACCAGGTCAGACATGGAAAACTGCCCAGGCTGAGGGTCAAAGAGTCTCTACAAGGGACAAAAAGCTGTGCACTATGTGACAAAGCACCAACACATCCCCTGAATAACTGTTGACCAGGACAAAGAGTGTTGGAAATGCCATAAGAAAGGATACTTTGCACCTGTTTGCTGATTTTGCAGAGTTAATGCATTTCAGGAACAGGAGATGGAGACAAATTCCCTTGGAGAGGTGTCTACAAGAGACATTTAAAAAACATAATCAAAGACACTGAAAATTAATGGGCAAATAACATTTAACAACCATATCATCAACCACCTATTCAGGAAAGCATATCACACTCACCAGAGCAACAAAAGCACTACAAGGACCCAGCAAGTGAGAGGACAGTTCAATGGTGTCATAGAATACAAGAATATGAACAACAATTAATAACAACATAACCTGTGTTTGTCATACACAGGTTAGCTACTCCTCAACTTGATCTACCAGCAATCAAGATGCTGCAGTTACAGAGGCTAGTTGACAGTATTCAGGGGCTGGCAGCAAACTACAAACAGCTGTACAGGCTTGGGATGCCCGCATCAAAAGTACAGTATAAGATTAAGATGGAAGAAGCCAAGTCGTATGCTTTGTCACTGCTACGGTGTCTGTCCCTTTGGTTGACAAAGTTAAAGAGGAACTCAAAAGGATGAAGAAAATGGGAGTGATCACGGCCATTGAAGAGCCCACAAAATGGTGCGCAGGTATGGTCGTTGCACCCAAACCACAGGGAGGGATCCACATCTGTGTTGATTTAACCCACCTAAACAAAGACTGGCAGGTGCTCCTACACCCACAATCAGCCCCACTCACTACCTTCATCAGTTTTTTAGTAGATCAGGTGACATTTGTAGGTCATCAGCGCACAGGGCATTGAAGCAGACCCTGGTAAAATCAAGGAAATCACAGGGATGCCCAATCCCAATGATGTGGCTGTTGTGAGAACATTTTTGGACATGGTGAGGAATGTGGATAGGTTCTCACCATGTGTCGCTGAACTCACAAAGCTAATTGGAGATCTCAAGGCAGACAATGACTGGGTCTGGGAATGCATGCAGCAACAAGCTTTTAAGGAGCTGCTTCGAGAACAGCATTTACCTAATGTTTTGGCACAATGCTGCCCAAACAGAGAGACAATAGTTGCAGTAGATGCTTCCTCATTCTCATCATCTTGCCCAGCATGACAGAGGCAGAGGCCAGATATGTCCAAATTGAAAAAGAGGTTCTGGCGCTGACCTTGGCATGTTAGCGTTTTACAGTCCTACCTGCTTGGGATGGTATTTCTCATACAGACTGACCACAAACCCCTCATTTCGACCTACCTGCTCAGAATCTGAAGTTCAGACTGTGACTGCTCCACATTACATACAGGACTGTACACGTGCCCGGGCAATAATTTAGTTACAGTACACAGCACTGTCCAGGGCTCCAAACCCAGCCACAGCAGAGGAGATACACTTGCCTGCATCAGAGCGAGGCTGGTTTAGATCAGGACCACAAAGGATGCAGATGGCCTAATAACAAAAAAAGGTGTCACACCAGATCTTCAACAGTACTGGCAGTATCACTTGGACCTGCTTTCCAGAGTTTAGCTCAAATATTCCATCCAATTATAGCCTGTTTATTCTGAAAAACGAGCTGACTTTCTGATTCTGAGATGATAAATGCCCAGGAGAGCACTGTGCACAGGGCCCAACCCGAACCTGTGTCTAAACCTGATCCGAGCTCGAAGCAGTTAAAGTTGCACTTTGTGTTACTCTGTCCCTGACACAAATGGTTATCGCTTGGTTTCCCAGATTACAGATAATGCAGTTTAAAAAATATACCCAAATATTATTTAAAACATGCAGTACTGTCTTACCAATGAAAACTCTGTGCAGCCCCCCACCCCCACTGCTGACACTATAAAATATAACCCTTTTTTATGGGTTGAGTCCTGTATGCCATAGTCTTTCGATTTTTTTTTAGACATTTTTGACTTCTTAAATATCCTTTTCAGTTTCTGTGATTTCCGTCTGTGCATGTGGCCCTGTAGTCTCTGTAGCCTGTAACCTATGCTAATTAGCAACTTGCGAAAACATGGCATTCATTATTATAAGAACACAGGTGCAGTTTAAGAAAGCATCATGAATCTGAGTTTTCTTTGGATATAGAGCAAATTTAAAGAAATTCCTGAGAATTGTTGAACAATGCCTGAAGAGTCTGGGTGAAAAACACAGCTGAAATGCCAAGGCCTTCCTACATAACCTACCCTCTGGAAGTCTTGTTACTGATATTCAAGTCCAGGGCTCCTGCTTACCTAGTACCTTTGGTTCTGCTACACATTATACTTTTAAATGTAACCAAGGGTTACATTTCAACCCAATTTTATATCATCAAATAACTAACTAGAACCAAACTTACCAAAAATTAAGAACTACCTAAGATGACAGAAACAATTTCGAGAAATATTTATTGATTGTTCAACTTTGACTTTTTTGTTTGATCCATGTTCCATCTGCGAATAGGAAGGAGGCATGGTTTACCAGGTGGCAAGCGAAACGCATGGCTGTGTCATGTTGTCCATCTTTATATTCAGTCTGGTCTGAACACAAGCAGCTCTATTTGAACTTTTTTCGAAGAAAACACATACAGGGAAATACTTGCTACAACAACCTCTACAATGGAAGTACTCCGGGTTACTGCTTTCACTCTTGAATGCATTTTCTCCCAAGGGGCCAGCATTCAAATTCGAATCGCAATTTTGTGCCTTGCCTTCTTTGCACCTTGTAACAGGTGTAGTGTAAGGCAACAACAAAACAAAAAAGTTAGTGGTCTGAATACTTCTGAATGCAATGTATACCACCCAATGACATATGGAAAATGCAAATTAGTCTTGAATGATTTTACATTTTCTCTTGCAATTATTAAAACCCATTTTAACTGCTGTGAATTCAGGAAGATTACAAATTACTCAGATATGATGTTGTTTCATACCAAGATAGATTTTCAGTGAATTCTTCTTCTAAAGATGAGATAATTTCAGTGTAAAGTGAACAAGGACTTTATTTGTGAGTAATTTAGGTGGTCCAGTCTAAAGAATGTTTCAGACCTGTTTGTCATGGGAGGGGCATTGATCCTGGAGTCAACAGTGCTTCTCCATTGGCTGGAGAGAAGAGGATACTGGCCACTGGGAATGACTGGCATCTCTATGGGAGGATATGTAAGTCTTCAGAATGGCACACATTCTGTCTTTTCCATTATTAATCCTTTTTTAACCAAACCTCTACAATCCACCAGTATTCCTCTTCACAACTAACCAACATGCTTGTCATTCTGAAAACCCATATTCACCAGCAATTTATTTAACATTTAAAACTGACTAGAATTTGCATTTCCTGTGTAGCGTTATGATCATTTTGCACCAGCTCTTATCGGAGCAAAATCATATGGTCGTGAATTCCCGGTTCAAAGGCTCTCACTTCTCTACTCCCAAAGAACACATAATGACAACAGATACAAAAATATGAGATTTATTGGCTAATATGTACAAGGAAGGGAACATTTACAAGAATTATAAATGAAGAATATGCAAAATAGAATAAATGTAACATCTGCAATTACAGCAATGGAATTGAAAGATGATAATTTTAGTAATGGTGGAAGATGATATGTTTAAGTGTGGTAAAATTAACAGGAAAACAAATCTATGCAGGAATGCACACATTATTCTTTGAAGGTAAATTTAGAGGTTATAATTCTGGTAACGACATCAATCAATCAAGCACATTTTATTTGTTAGTCCATATTCACAAATCACAATTTGAATCATAGGGCTTTAACACGGTGTGACATCATCTGTCCTTAACCCTCAACAAGAGTGAGGAAAAACTACCAAAAATAAAACATTTTAACAGGGGAAAACTAATGTAGAAACCTCAGAGAGAGCCACATGTGAGGGATCCCTCTCCCAGGACGGACAGAAGTGCAATAGATGCCATGTGTAATGGAGAATGTCAGAAAAATTAGAGTAATTATAACATTGGTTAGAGTAAACAGTTTAAAGTATGATGGAAGTTAAGTGAATTGAGGAATTATTGTCAGTAATGGTAGGGTATCTGAGTAGACATATTGTATATCAAGCAGTCTACCAATCCAATCCACCCAGTCAACAGCAGACTCAATTGATTGGATTCAGCCTACTTGAATAAGTGCCGCTGTGCTGTGGACCTTCTCTGATCAAACTCAGACCATGGTTCGGTGGCTATTAACCTGCCAGTGGTCGCAGCTGTGGGGCCTCTTCTCCAGGCAGTCTCTTCTGGCACTGGGTCTGGATGAGACTTGGTGCAGGCATGCAGTCAGTGTATATCTGACGGTTTGGTGTCGTAACCAATGCTGATTAGTTAAGTTGTATGCTCGACTTTGTAATAAAAACTCCAGTAAAATTGGCGTTGGTCATATGTTACAAAATCTCCATACATATTTAAACAAAGTTGTGATGAAGTTGTTTATAAAACGAGCATTTGATGCTGTATTCTCATCAGCTGGCTGTTGATTTGGCAAAAAAATTAGATGCTTTGTTGGTAAGTTACTGTAACGTGCATAAGAGTGTAATTCAAAAGATAAACTTAAGAGAAAAGAAGATATGAACTAAGTTTAAAAATGAGAATGCGAAGAGTAAAAAGTAAAGTGAAAAGCAAAAGTTATGATGACCTTAGCATACAATTGGCACAAAGCTGTAAGGAGTGCTCAATCGCAAAACAGTGTTTTACTTAAAGAGGAAGCTCTTTATCTGTAAGTATGATATTTTAGCTAGACCTTGAGTAGATGAGCATAATAATGTATGGCGTCTTCCCACACTCCTCACACAAAGAAAGAGTAGGTTTAGGGATTGGGAATCTGAGGACAAAGTCAGCAATCACTTTCTATTGCTTTTTAAAAAAGAGAAACTGCTTCCTGAATCAATTTTACAAATATGTTACATGCATGTCCACATACAAAAACCATAAAATACCAAATCATGCCGAAATCATATTTTTGTCTTTGTATCCAGATGGCATCCCTGGCAGTGACTAACTGGCCGAAGCCCATCCCTCTGATTCCCTGTTTGTCTTGGTCCACTGCCTCAAGTGTCTTTACCACGGTAACACACTCTTTGTATCTGACACATGACGGAAGTTTTCAGAGCATGCAATCAAACTGCAGCTTGATTAGATACATTGTGATAATTGCAGCTTGATTGGTCTGATTTTGATGAACAGTAAATACAGACAAGGAAAGGTTTAATACAGATGTGTGATTTTATCCCGACCCATTCCAAATCTTGCCCATCTTCCACCAGCAAGGAATGCTTTCACATTTGGCACAGACATTTACTTGGACTCAAGAATGAATTTTTTTAAATTTTGGGAGCCAAAGGTCAGGGTCATGATGGCCTCACAAAATATGTCTATGTTATTCTTAAATGTTATGTCTTATGATCAGCTTTATGGAATGTCTTTAAATTGTGTACAAACATTCACTTCAAAGATGAACTGATTCGATTTTGGTGGTCAAAAGTCAAAAAGGTAAGGTCACATGACCATGCGTTGTTTTGAATTCGAAACAGATAAGGAATGCCCACAGGGAATATCATCACGTGTCACAAACATTCACTGAATAGAATTTGGTGGTCAAAGATCACAGTGACCTTATGTGAATCTTGAAAAAATAACTGACTGGTTGGCGGAGGCAAACAATCGAAGTAATTCTAGTTTTCATTTGTGCCCATTTCAGCTGCTTTAAATTGGCCTTCCTGAATTCAGTCTAACCAATGATGAGTCCAGTCAACATTGATATCATAATTTCAAATAATACCTGTAGTAAATCACAGATTAGCTACAGTATGTGTTATCATGTCTGAGAAAAAGGACTAGTAAATTACTGATTCATTTGCTTTGCCATACAAATAACTGTAGCAAGGGATTGAAATTTAAATCTTTCTGTCTAAATATCAGATAAGGAACATTTTGTTAACTTATGGTTATATTTTTTGTCAACACTGTTGACTCCATGAATTAAACTGTCCACAGTAACCCCACTCTTTTTCCACAGTATCAGTTTAGTCGGCTCCACTTCCCCTCACTGAACAAATTGTACTCAGTGAAGGTTATCGTTCATGGTTTCAACCAAAAGTCGGGTTAGGAACTGCTCATTTCACATCATCTTTTCATATGTTCATATACCCTTGTCTTCCAAACATGAAAGAGAACCTGTGGTAGCATTCAGTTGTCATAAAAACTCAAAAGGTGTTTAGTTTGTCCAGTCTGAGCTACTGTAAAAAACATGGTTGGCTCCATAGAGAGGACCAGCTCCAGATCTAATAATAAAGTATTTAAATACAAAGGGCCCATTGTAGTGTAAAGAAAACAACAATTCATACAATTTAGATGAAACACACCAGTGAAAACATCAATATGGATAATTTTATGTTTAGTATCTGCCAATAGATCCCTTTTACCTAAATCTTACACACTGAGCCTTTAATGGCCAGTATGGACTGGAGGACCTATTACAGTGGACTAACAGGCATGTAAATATTGTAAGGATAGCATTACTATAGAATTTGTTCAGCAATGAAGTCTGAGGAAGGTGTGTGTGTGTGTGTGTGTGTGTNTGTGTGTGTGTGTGTGTGTGTGTGTGTGTTGTAGGGTGTATTGAGTAAAGCAGTAAACTGGACAGAGCTGGAGAAGCAGTATGCCATTAACTCAGTGTATGAAGAGGAGATCATTCACCTGTTGGAGTACTGTGGGGTATGTTATCCTTCACTTACTTCTACTCTCCACAACCAGGATTATACAACTGGCTATAAGGTTACAGATCAATTATGACAAGGATTTCAAATCCTTTAGTCACAAAGCAAGATTTGCTTGTTTTAGCTTTGTGAGCATGCAAGTTAATATTTCTTTTGTTGCATGTCAATATAAAATTACATAGATCTTTTTTGTTTTGTTTTGTTTGTTTAGATAATCAGACCACATAGAAATATTTAAGCCGTGGGTGGCTCTGGTAACATGTGATGGGTATTTGTCATTATTCAAGAAAAGGTCCATTGATAACAAATGGTTGTACAGTCAAATGTATGTTTGAGGAAGCTTTCCAAGAAACAGAGCAGTAACCCTGACCCTACTCTTAACACACTTGAGCATGATCATCAATTATTTTGAATCAGTCTCTTGGTCATTGTCCATGTCTGTCAGGCTGATTCCTTAAGGATGGGTACAGAACTTCTGAAGAACGCGGACACTATAGAGCAGCTTCTGGGTCTGTCTAGAGGTGAAAGAGCGTCAGTGGGCCAGTACTCCAAAACTGGATGGGAAGTTGAGGTTGAACAAGGCCCGTTGATTGGTGGAGGCCAAGAAGGGAGCAAAGTTGGAGACAAAGACCATCTGTTATCATCAGTGAACAGCAGTGGAAAAAGTTTCATTGCAAGGTAAACAGGTCAGGTTGTTTTGAATTGAAGCTGCTTATTTCTGTATGTGTGACTTCCTTTTTTCCTTTTGTTTAACATGCTCCAACTATGTATATACATATATACACACATATATGTATATATTGTAGCACTTGTCTGATTTGATGTTCTAATATATAATTAGGGCCTCTTGCATATGTACAAATATTTACATAATTTTGGTTGATCCAGTAAACGTTTTATCATTTAGTTCTCATCTAATTTTCATTTCATATTATTTTTTCCTAGAAGTCTACATGCAAAGAGCACACTTCATGGGAAGAAGATGGATTCAGCCAAATGCTGTCGGCCATCTTTGCATAAAGAATCGATAAGCTTTATGAAGGGAGTTATGGATGAATGTACACACATGGCCAACTTCTCTGGTAGGTTTTATGGTACAGATGGACATATTTTTCAGGCAGCATTTTTGATTAGTTTCACAGCAGACGTAGGACAGAAGAAAGAAGATAGTCATAAATACTTTTGGTAGAGATGCTCGATCAAAGGTTCAGTGTGTAGAATCTAGTGGGGAAGTTGCATGTTGCACCTCACCCCCCTTTTACAGACATGAAAGAGAACATGTGGTAGCCTTGTCATAAAAACTCAAAGGTATTTAGTTTGTCCAGTTTGAACTACTGTAAATATGGTGGTCTCTGTAGGAATGAGCCACTCCCAATGTAAATGTAAGGTATTTAAATATAAAGGACCCATTCTAGGGTAAAGAAAATGTGGCAAAAAACATTGCCACCGGGAACTCCCAACAGCAGCCAGACACAAACCATTCTGGTTTTAACATGCTTTATTATTGAGAACTGCAAACATTAATTTAAACAAAACCAATCATTTTGCCGGATTTTTGTTGGCTGTGGGGTGAATTAAGTTAACGTTAGACTAAGATTATGTGCATCTTGCATGACCAGAATTCAATTTAAGTTGGCCTATTAAGTTATATAGTCCTTTTCTTATGTTGCAATTGGTTAAATCTAAATTTTCATAGTATTCATAATATTATTTATAGCAGCTAAACCCATAATTGCAATTGCAGTGTGTGGAGGTAGCTCGTCAGACTCAGCACAAGTGAGTCTAGTTGGCCAATTACTCTCCATGGATTAAAAAGGCAGCAGAAAAGCTGCCAGTGAGAGAGAGAAACATATGATGGAGAAAGAGACAGAAAAAAAGACACATGGAGAGAGCTGAGATAAGCTGCCAAGACGCCAGCATAAATAAACTGCTGGCAAATTTATGTTTAGTTTGTTGTAATTTATGTTTGCTCCCATTAAATAACAAAAAATGTTGAAAAGCAAATGGTTTGTCTCTGGCTGCTGTTGGCAGACCGTGATGGCAATGTGATAATGCTCCATGTCACTAACTGGTTTCATGAATATGACATTGAGTTTAGTGGACTTCAATGACCTCCAATCACTGGATGTGAATCCACTAGAACCTATAGGGCAGTGGTCGCCAATCCGCCGATCTCGACAGTCTTCACCATCGATCTCTGTAACTCTCTGGACTCACAGTCTGCGGTTGAGCGGCAGATCAGCTGTGGGTCGCTTGTCTGTTGTTCACACCTGCTGTGTGTCCGCTACTGGCGGCGGAGCAGCAGGTTTATCTCCTGCATTTCCTTCAATACAAGTCGGATTATGCACTGAACTAAATGTCACGACTCTACGGTATGAAGTCCTGCATCTTCTGGTCTGTCGACAACAATCAAAGCCCTGTTAGAACAAATGAATGGATTCAGAAGTGAAACGCTGGAGTGTTTTTTCTCTGAAACGGGTTCAAGAAGTGTTGTAAATACGTTTGTGACATAGACAGATCAACTTTGTGTTTCACTGCAGAATAAAATGATCCTTCACCTGAGTTTGAATGTTTATCTGTTGAATTTATGTCACAAACACAAAACAAAAGCACTCCAGTGTTTCTGATGACCAAATCCATTCTTTTGTTTAAAAAGTTTTTAAGCTGAAGATGCATGAATTCATACTGAAATTATAAATATGACCCTCCTAGGTGGTTTTTTTGCAAGATATTGGGGTGGTAGATCTCGGCTCACGTTTTCAATTAAAAAGTGGTCTTGTGCTTTAAATGGTTGGAGACCACTGCTATAGGGTGTGGTAGAACAAGTTATTGACAGAATTAATGTGCAGTTGACACATGCAGAAATGATGTAATGCAGTTACACTAACATTGAGCAGAATCTTAAAGGAAAGTTTCCAACATCCTGTGAAATTGGTATGTCATGAAGAACTGAGGACATTTGAGAGCAAAAGTGCTTGTACTCATTGTTTGTCTGGTGTTCCTTATAGAATGTGAAGTGAATGTATGAATAGTCCCAAGATGATAGATAATTTATTTTCACTCAATGATTAGAGGTATGTCTGCTATATTGAAATGATGACCAGTGAAGACAGGCCAAAAGAGGGGTCATAGGTGTGTGGTTATATATCCCAACAGAAAATAAATTGTGTGTGTTCTTCGCTCTGTCCTAGTCCCTGTAGACACCAGTCTCATCATCGTAGTCCAGGCCAAAGAGGATGCCTACATCCCTCGTACAGGGGTCGTCAGTCTGCAGGATATCTGGCCTGGATGTGAAGTCCGATATCTGAATGGCGGACACATCAGTGCATACCTGTTTAAACAGAACGTCTTCAGGTAAACCACTTACTTGACATGCAGAGCAAAATATGTGTGCAGGGTCGGAGGTTCTCTGTCACTATGACAGATTTCCGTCATTCAGGGTTTCCCCTCCCTCACAATACTTTTTAGCAGTTTTAAATATTTTTGTGGAGGGCCTAAACTGAATGACCAGAAAAACAATGCTGAGCTCTGGAGATTGCAGAGATATTGTAATGACTATAATATAGGGCACTCTTTATTGCTGCATGTTCATATTCATTAGAATATATATTATTTTTTAATCCCACCACGTGTCCTCCCTGCCTGGTGTTACACATATTGGAGATATCACTCACAATCTAACAGTTGCCAGTTGCCAGTTCTTCTACAGTCATACAGCCTAAACAAGGATCAGGTTGTTGGTATATTGTTGGATAACTGCAGTGTCATAAAGGTTAATTGGTCTGCGGTAGAGACACAAGACAAAAGAAAAAACCCATCACTACTGGACATAAACAGAGACATGGTTCTCATCTTCACAAGTACAGCCAGGACTCTTCAGAATCCTTTCCAGGGTTTGTGGAAGGGGTTTTGCTCTAATAGTTACCATGATTTTCGAGTTGACGTACTGACATCGTAATTAAAATTCAATTATGTATGGCCATTTTCAGGGTAAACCCTATACCCTACATATCGCTGGTAGAGCAGCTCCATTGCAGAACTGCTGGTCACCTGCAGCCGGTGTGGTCTGGGTGTTAACCAGGATTTTTCCTGCTGTCACATCAGGCGGACCAGTAGACTTAGAATGCAAAGCCAAACAGTCCAAAAACATGTGAATTTGTGCAAAATTCATGTAAGGAACAGAATGTTGAAAACACATAAATGCCACATTGAAAATGCGTCAATAACGTGTGATCTCGTATGTGTCAATGTTGCTTATTTGGTCCCTTGCCCAGTTTGAACTGTTCACTGCCTCAAGGTCTCAAAGGCTGCTGAGCTCTAGCATTGTACCATTTTTTTAAACCCAGGAGGAGTTTCTTAAAACAACTAAATAAAGCCTACTACAGATCCCCTTATTTCTTTTAACTGCACTGCGGTTGTATGCCTCTGCCAAGCAGTGTAGTTTCCATGTAAATGTTTCTTCATACATTTTTTTCCAGATTCATATAATTTCACTGTGACCTTTACCTTTCACCACAGAAATCTAATCACTTCATCTTTCAGTCCCAGTGACAACCATCCATTCACCAAGTTCCCAGCCAGAAATTTGGGTGTGGTCTTTGACCAAAACCTGTGCTTCGAACCCCACATTAAGGTTGTGCACTTGTGTCTTTATCATTTAAGAATTATAGCCGAGGTTAAGTCTTTGATCTTACATACAGACCTGGAAAAACTCATTCATGCCCTTATTTCTTTGTGGAGGATCGATTTTTAAATTCTTTTAATCACTTTTAAAGTCAGGCATGGGCTTGCCCCTCCCTATACCAGACCTTACATCTTCCTACAAGCCAGGATGTAGTCTGAGATCTTCTGGTAGGGCGTTGCTAACCATTCCGAAGTCCAGGCTAACAACCAAAAGAGACAGAGCTTTTGCCATGAGGGCCCCTACGCTTTAGTACAATATGCTGTTACCTGTTTTATCTCGCTTCTTAAGACACATCTTCCTATTGTTTGTTGTAAAGCACTTTGTTGTGTGAATGTAGTGTTCTCATGCAGTGTGTCGTAAGTCTGACTTAACACCAAGGTAAACCGAGGACAGAGTCGTAGTAGTAAGGCTGACCATTTACTTGAAGACTTCCTCATTAGCATTCTGGTGAAAACTGTGAATGTCTGTTATATGTTACATTCTACATAATTGTAACTATACATTGCTGCTTTGCACTGCAGGTGGCAGTTACCACAGATGTTGTAGCTGGTACACATTGGAAAATAGACTGTTTTTAGGTAACTTATCAAACATTTTTAACTAAATATTTACTAATATATTATCTTTAGCATGTCTAACAACAAATAAATAAACCTACAGCATTGGATTGGGTGCAAGTGGATTATTCCTCAGAGCATGTACCATATGTCTCTCTGGTTTTTACTGCAGAACCAGGAAGCCCCAAACAGGAAGTTGCCAGAATCAGAGGTAACTGAAGACCAGAAGTGACGTCACTGTGTGACGTAAATGGACAGATAATATTACAAACAAGTCTTTTAAACTGTAAAATAATTATCCATCCTCCACTTGCAACCAGCAAATTATTTAAACAAAATGAATGCCTTAAGGGCAGTGAATGAATTTCCTCATGGTGTTCTGAGGCAAAAAGAAATTGCTTTGTGAGGTCACACTGACCTTGACCTTAGACCACAAAATTCTGTTCAGGTCATTAAGTCCAAGGGAAAGCGCCACATGTAATATTCTTCCCTTTGCATATTCGTGATAGATATCGCGCTCAAAAAATCTGTCCATTTAGGAAGCACAAGTGATTGTGAATCAGTTTCACCTGCTTTGATGCAAGTGACAACAGGTGCAATGGAGAAGCAAAATCAAGACAAGCACCAAAAGGAAATGGTTTTAGATGTGGTGGCCTTAGACAGCTACTCTCTTTTTATCCTTCCTGACTGATTCTTCTCTAGTTTATGTTTTGCTAGTGTCCTTGTCACTACTGGTAGCATGAGGCAGAACCTGCAACCCGATCAGGTTGCACAGGTAGTCCAGGTCCTCGCAGTCGCTAGAAGGTTCGTCTCCAAGCTCAATCTCAAGAGCATGGAGGAGATACCAGCAAACTGCTGAAGAGCTGGACAGGGCTGTGGAAGGACATCAACCCAGCAGCAGGACCGGTACCTGCTCCTTTGTGAGAGGAGGAACAGAGCCCTACAGAATGACCTCCAGACTGCTGGTGTGCTTGTTTCTGACCACACTGTCAGAAACAGAATCCATGAGGGTGGTATAACGGCCCGACGACCTCTAGTGAGACCTGTGCTTACAGCCCAGCACATCGAGCTTGATTGGCATTCACCAGAGAACACCAGAATTAGTAGGTCCGTCACTGGCTCCCCGTACTCTTCAGAGATGAGAGCAGGTTCACACTGAGCACATGTGATATGCATGTAACAGTATGGAAACACCGTAGTGAATACTAAATCCAGTTGAGCACCTTTGGGACGTTATGTATCGTGCATCCAACACTGCTGGGTTTGCCATGGGTTTTCTTACAAAATGCCAGTGGGGAAGTCAAAGGTGGCAATGTTTTATCTTGATGAAAGAAAAAAACATAACAGGCAATCTAATTTTTTTTTTATCAGCTAAAAAAGAAAGGGAAGATAGCACAAAGAAATAAGATAACCTTCAATAAATAAAGTTTATTACAGTAGGCAATGTGTCAAGAAATGTGTTAAGAAACTCCTCCCTCAACAGCAAATCAGACCTTGAGGCAGTCAACCATTCAAACTGGGCAAGTGGCCAAATGGCTCAAATACATATGAAATTGATGTCTGACATCACACATTGTCAAAATGTTACTAACGTGTTGTTTGCAAATCACAAATTAACATGTTTTTGGACTGCTCACAATTAAGTTATGGTGTGTCAACATTGAAGAGCAATGCAAAATTGCAACCTTTCCATCATTCTTTAATCCCTCTGTCTAGTATTTTATGAGTGAGGTCGTGAAACACACTTCTATGTAGTTCATGAAACACATTTCATACTTGGCTCCTTTTGTATTGTATATTTAGATTTATTGGTGAATTACAGCTGTTTTGTAGAAGTTAATGGTCACATTGTAGGCTTTGATTGATTTCTTCTCAGCAGAAAATGGTAATCCATATGAACTGACTGGTACTGACTGAGGTATTGACTGAAGTCGTATGATTTGTTCTAAATGGCACATTACCTTTTATTCACATCCTGCCCAGTGTCCGCTGGTTTCAGTCTGTCATCTGTTTGCTTCTCTCCTCCTGTCGATGTTCACACAGAGTATTTTAATGCAGACAAATTCAATATATAGCTACTGTTCAGTTTCTGTTGTCAGGCATTAGAACAAGTGTGACACAGTGACTGTAACTTACTGCATGTGTTTTATTTTCAGACAGGCGATATATGATGCATTCAACAGATTCTGTCTGAAGTATCCCAACTAGCCATGGCCAGCAGAAGTTCTTTCCACCTTGTAACAACACCAGGATCAGCATTTCCACAGAGGCTTTCTTTCTGCTGAGAGGATATGTGCCTGAGCTTTACAGTTCATTACACAAAGCTAAGGTTACATTAGCTCAGTCACTTTCAAATTCTTTTCATTTCCTGTGTCTGCAGAGGGAGTGGTTTGTGCCTTGTTGCCTCTAAACCAAGCTTAGTGAATGAAACTGTGGCAGTATGAAACAGTGTTGTAGAAAGTGCCTGAATGTGGATGTCTAAGGGACATTCACTTTTTGATGATGGACAATAAACCCTATGGTTTTCACTGGCTCACTGGTCCAAACCAGTGGACTGCACGTGTCTGTCCTCATGTGGGCTGTGTCATGGATATTTCACCTGGAGAAAGTGAGAAAAACACACATAACAGTCCCTTTAATATTGCAAATTTCAACACATTGTTGTGCACTAAATACAGATCATTGATTAATATAGTTTATAATAAATACAAACTGTCAATAAAATACTGATGAAAATTTAGAAGAGAAACTACACTCATTTTGGGAATTACATCAAAGAGTTTGAAAAGAGTCAGTGCTCAGTGCAAACCATCCTTATTGTCTATTATCATATACTATTTTAAATGATTCACATTGACGAACATATGAGGTGCTTACATTTACAACAATAAGACTGTTTTTCTTACAGTTGTGTTTGGTGTTTTTACTGCAGTTACATTTCAGTTTATGTACTTTCATCAATTACCTCTCCATGATGGCCAGTGTCCGAACGTCCTTCCATCCAGTATGTCTGTCCAATTGTTGTGAATACAATATTTCAAGAACAGTGTGAGAGGGAGAGGTATTCTTTGAATCCTTTTGAGACAGACTGTTTCTCATATGTCCTGGTAATAAATAACTCCAAGGTTCCTCACAATAGTGTTGGGAGCCAAGATAATGCCATTCAAAGTGACTATCTGGTCAGACAATGTTACTCTATGTTTAGAGCAGATTACAATGACTTCAGTTTTTTATGGATATGAAGAAAAAGTTATGTCTCACTCAGAACTTAAAGGGATAGTGACTCATAACTTGTGGGAGGGGTGAAGTGTTTGAGTCAACAAAACACTTTTGAAGTTTCAGGGGTGTAACAGCCCGGCTCACTGACTGTGACAAGGAGGGAGATGAAACAAGTTGACTGTTATCATAAAATACATTTATTTACCATACAAGATATAAACAACAACACGTGTCTGTAAGCAAAATGAAAGTGATCCTGTCGTCAGTAGTCAGGGGGAGCAAACCTCTTCCCTCAGAAAAAACGAGACATGAATGAGGGGTAAACCGCCGACATCAGCGAGAACTGAAGCTACTGGAACCAGTGATGCTACTGATACTTATCGCGAGTACTCTGATCTTGTCTCATGCACCCTTGGGCGAGAGCTTATGTGCAGTGTGTGCCCAAACGTGAACGCTGCTCCGAGCAGGATGATAACAGCGGACATTTAGGATAAAAACATGATGTAAATAATGCCGTTGCAGTCGTTTGAGGAAGTGGTCACCAGTGATGTCAATTGTATTAATTTGGCTGCAACGCTGTTTACCCCTGAAACTCCAAAAGTGTTTAGTGGACTTGAACACTTCACCCACCCCATTATCAGTATAGTGGTGAGTAGATAATGACTGAATTGTCATTTTGGGTGAACTATGCCTTTAAGGCCCCTACAAGGAGTTTTTAACTGGTTATGAAACTGTCTCATTTAATGACCTACAACAGTAAATGAGAAGGGAGAAACATTGGCTTTTTCTATAAAGTATTTGGTGGTTGGCATCCAGCTTAAAGTGCGTTTCTGCCACCTATGCATCGTAATTTACGACAGTCAGGCTTGTAAAACGTGTTTACATGTGTACATTTCCACCGGCATGAGTTTCAGTTTCAACACTTCTTTATTCCCCGGAGATCCCACGTACCCCAGACACCACCTGCATGACCGACCCACCAGCAGAACTATGTAGGTGGCAGAGGAAGAGGAAACAGAAGCAGGGGAAGCCAGCTGGGCGACGCTCTAGACTCAAGGCTAACCCATACAGACTAGTGGTACCAAGTCTGTTCCTCGCCAACTCCCAAGTCTTTTATAAACAAGAGGGATGTGATCAAAATGAGAACTACACCTCATTCTGCGACTATCATCACAGAGACCTGGCTGAACAACAACATCCTGGACGCAGTGTTTTCATAGCAGCCCCCTCACAAGGCACTCTGGGAAGAGCAGAGGAGCTGGTGTGTGTCTTTTCACGAACAACAGCTGGTGCATTGCCACAGACATTGTTTACAAAGACTGCTTTACAGACCCAGAGCTACCCACGGATAGGTGCAGACTGTTCATTCTTCCAAGGGAATTTACAATAATATAAATTATGTGAGTATACATTCCCCCACAACCTAAGGCTCAGGTAGCACATGAAAAGCTGCATGACTTCATCAACAAACAGCTGACGGTTAACCCAGCCGGTGTGATCATCAATGTAAGGGAGTCATACAACCATACAGCAACAAAAAGATATATTACCTCATCTGATAAATATGATTTAAACTAATCTAGTGCCAGTCCTTTAAAACCCTAGATGTTGTTCCAGCCTCTGTAGCAGAATCTTATGATCTATGGTGTCAAAAGCTGCACTAAGATCCAACAGGACGAGTATAGAGACAAGTCCACCATCTGATGCCATGAAAAGGTCATTAGTAACTTTTTAACAGTTCTGTTTCTGTACAATTATGGACTCTAAATCCTGACTGAAAGTCTTCAGACAGACCATTCTTGTGCAAATAATTGCATAAATGGCTATCAACAGATTTTTCAAGGATTTTAGAAATGAATGGGAGGTTTGATATGGGTCCAATTAGCTAAAACACTTGGGTCAAGAGTGGGCTTTCTAAGCACAGGTTAAATTACTGCTGCCTTAAAAGCCCGTGGTATGTAGCTGCTTAATATATATTTAAATCTTAAACACCTCCTAAAAAGTCTAGATTGAATAGGGTCTAAATGATAAGTTTATGGTTTAGATCAGGGGTTCTCAAAGTTTTGGTAGCTGAGGGCCAATTTAGGAACCCAACATTGGACTGGGGGCCGCCGAAGGGGGGAAAAAAATGGAAAAAACAGAAAAATCCTATTTGTAATCATTTTAATGACCACAATGCATTTCTACAGTTTACACTTAAATCAAACTTTATTTGTATAGCACTTTTCTAACAAAAAAATGCAACACAAAGTGCTTCACATAAAACATAAGAACAAGCAAACACCCTCCGCCCGTCCCTAATACTAAGGAAGCGCCATCTCATTGTCGAGCAGTGAGGAAACACAGGAGGCAGGTTAGAAATGAATTAGATTAAAATAACTAAAATTAAATAAGATAAGATGAAATAAAATAATAAAAATAGCAATAAATAATAATAATAATAAATAAAAGAAAATATTACTAAAAACGTATTGGTGTGCATCCAATAATGTGCCATAAACACATTTTAATTCATAAATGAACCTTAACCTGGCGAAACTTGAAACATTGTAAAGCACATAAAATCCGGTCAAATTTAGGATATAACAGACCTGTGTGCAGTTCATTTCAGAATATACAGCATGTAAAATCCTATTTACAACAAACAGTCAGTCTCATGTGTGCCTTGCTTCCTGTCTTATCATCAGCAGGGACCTTATTCAGGAGCAATTCCAGCTACCAAAGCACCACAGGAAAACCTGCAGAGACAGACAGACAGACAGACCAGGAGGGGGAGAAAGAGAGAGAGACTTTTAAAATAGAAGCTTACCAAACAAGTCGTCATCATCATCAATATCTACCATTGCCTATCATCAATAAGCTTGTCATTAAGTCACACTGAATATTTGCTACTAGTTAAACAACATACCTTATTGGCATAGGATTTGTGGTGCTGTTTTCAGTTGGCCACGATTCCTCTGATGTCCGGCTCCATCTCCGTCATTGCGATACGAAGGACATCATGTAGATGGCCATCTGTCAGCCTGGATCTCAGCTTGGATTTGTTGATGGCCATGGTGGAGAAGGTCTTCTCACAAATGTATGTGCTTCTGAATAAAGAGACCATTCTGATAGCATGCTGGCGAAGTGCAGGATATGTGGATAGGAAAAGTCCTTTGTAGAACTCAATGAGGTTCTTGTCACAATATGCTGCTCTGGCCTCGGAGCTCTCCTGCAGGTCGATGAGCTCAAACTGCATTTCTCCAGGCTCTTCTTCAGGGACACATGAGAAAGGATTTTGGTTAAATGACTTCTCGTGGTCCCTGAAGTCGGAGAAGCGGTGGTGGAAATCCTCTCTGAGTTTTTTTATGAGGTTATGGTTCTTGTCTGAACGCAGGTGACATAAAACGTGGCGCCCATCTGTGTCTGTGTCATCTGCCAGCGCCTTGCAGGTGGGAAAATGGGTTAGATCTCCCTGTTTGAGCTGTCCCTGCAGCAGTTGAAGTTTTCGCTGGAAAGCTTTGACGTTGTCAAATAGTGTGGAAATGAGCTCTCCATGGCCCTGCAGCTTCACATTGAGATCGCTGAGACAAGTATTCAGGTCAACAAGGAGCGCTAGGTCACAGAGCCATTTAGTGTCACTTAACTGTGTCACATCTTGTTCTTTTAACTCCATGAACTCTCTTATTTCTTTCCTCAGGTTAAAAAAACGCTTCAGTGTGGCACCTCTGCTCAGCCACCTGACGGCAGTGAAGTATATGACGTCAACAAAATTTGCCTCTGATTGCTCCAAAAACGTCTTGAATTGGCGGTGATTCAGACCTCTGGACTTCAGGAAATTAACTGTCTTCACAACAATTTCAATGACATGTTACATTTCAAGTGTTTGAGCAGCAAGGGCTTCTTGGTGTATTATACAGTGATACTTGATTAGTTTCTCACCTCCGTTGTTGGCCACTTTCTCAGAGAGCAGCGATACGGCATCTGTCTTTCTCCCAACCATTGCCGGTGCTCCATCTGTTGTGACACCGACCATAGACAGCAGCTTCACCTTGTATGCATCGAGACTGCGGCACACAGCATCACAAATGTCAACTCCTCTTGTTCGGTCTTTGATACTCTCCATGCTTAGCAGCTCCTCGCCTATTTCAAAGTTCTCCGTGACTGTTCGGATGAAAATCAGCAATTGCGCTGTATCAGAACTGTCCGTGCTTTCATCCAGTGCGATTGAAAAGGCCCCCTTTCCTAGGCCCTCCAAACGTTGTCCCAGTTGCTCTTTGAGATCGTTAGCCAGATCTTCAACTCGTCGTGTCACTGTATCATTCGACAAACTTATGTCACGGAGCTTTGTTTTTTGCTCTGAGCATACAATGTCGGCCACTTTTAAAATGCAGTCTCGCACAAATTCTCTGTCACTGAATGGCTTGCTCCGCCTGGCTATTTCTCGAGCTACCACGTAGCTAGCCTCTGTTACAGCTTCACTGGATTTGGCCAGATTTGTGAACATTGACTGCTGTGCAGTGTAGCCTCTTTTCATTTGTTCTAGCTTACTAGTGCACTCCTCACCGGTGAATTTTTCATAGCTTTTATGATTCGTAACATAATGGCGATTTATATTGAACTCTTTGAGAATTTTGTTCACCTGCTTGCAGATCAGGCACGACTTTATCCAACCCGTGAGGTACGACAAAGTACGCATTCGTCCACCTATCTTGAAACGGCCTTTTCTCCTCGCCGATACAACGTTTTTTTTCTCGAGCGTTCCAGCTCCGACTCCCGCTCTAACTCCATCTTCAACGCTATGGTCACAATCTCTTCTCTTCCCCGAGGCAGAGTGAAGCGGGATATGTCGTCAGCGCCCCAGTGGTGAAAAAAAAACATTGCACCATGGACCTCTGGGAGTGAGGTCCACACCTGTCATTACCACTAATCCCTATAGATGTCGCCAAAGACCACGAAACGAAGATTCATCCTTTCAAAGCAATGTACAATTGTATTATAACTATCAACTGTAATTCATTGCAGGCCGCCAGATATGTTTCTGCGGGCCACCATTGGCCTGCGGGCCGCACTTTGAGAATCATAGATG